TAGAGCTGTGATGATTGTCAAAAAACGACAACAGCACAACTTGCACAGAGATGTTGCTCTTATGAGTTCCTCCCGCTCACAATTTGCTGTTCGAGACAAATAGGATATTGGACCAAAAATGTTTAGAATGAAAATAGCTGAAGTGGAGTGGTGTCTTTCCAAAATGGGTCTGCATTTTGAAGCAACAATGCCTTTGCTCAGATTCAGCAAGTCATTCTATCACTCTATTATTCTGTATAATTGCTATGCCCACTTTGTATTCATCAAACTCAGAACTCCTGCATCAGTGAATAAATGAATCCAGACCATCGTTATAAATGAGTACAGTCATGCTTATCTGAAATGCTGTCATCAGGAACCATGCAGAAACCATATTAAAGGCGATGGGCTGGGGAGAGTTTGTTAGTTTCTCTGCTACAAAAGCATTGGCAAATTGTCTTTCACTGATGACGTTAGGATATTTATTTATTTTTGGCCGGCTATGATTAATCTATTGAAAAGATTACTCACACAACCAATTTGATTTTGGAAATCAATTTTATTTTTCTAGAACATATTCAATGTACCCTCATTCTGCATGAGTATCTATCTTAATATACATACTTCAATCTTACATTTTAACAATAAAGAATCTCTACGTCAGGGAAGTATCCAGACATGACTGTAAGATGACCTTGACATTGAGTTTTAGGGGTCAAACTGGCTCATTTGGTAGCAATCTCACTTCTGAACCACGAGGCTGTGAGTTCATGCCCCTCACCAGTACTTGGAACTCACATCCTCTGGACTGACACGCCAATGCAGTGCTGCTGGAATGACGTTCAAAGTGCCATCCTTTGGACGTGGTTTGAAATGGATATCCTGTTTGCCTTTTATTCAGAAAGAGGAGTTTCTCCCAGCGTTCTGGCCAGCAATGCCTCATTAAAAAAAATGATCATTCACTTCATGGCTGTTTGCAAGACATTGCTGTGTACAAACTGTCTGCAAGTTTGCTCAGAAAATACACAGCAAATCCTGTGAAGTGCTTGCTCATAATTATTATTGACTGACTTTATTAGCCGGGATTCTCAGTCTGGTTTGGTATTTTATCAAACTGTACTACACACCAGAAAGGGAAACTTGTTTTTTTTAAAAAAGTTAAAAGTAAGTTTCTGTGCAGTTACAAGCATTTCTCTGAATGTTCTGTGGAAAAGCTAAACAGAGTCCAAACATGGAAGCATTGCAGTGCACTTATGGCATGATTTTGATAAATAATAAATAACTGCAGTCTGTTAAATGTTTCATCAATAACTTATTATTTGTACTTAATTTGCATAACATCCACATTAAATTAGATTTCAGTCAGTGACACACAATAGTCTTTAACAATGTAAACATGAAATGTCAAATTTCAGAGCCAGAAGATTCCCAGTCCTATAGGGAAACCACCCTGGTAAGTGCAATGGAATAACTACAAACCTTAAAAATACAAGCCTTAGATTCCAGTATTTACGGTCCTTGCTCACACTTGAAGAAGACCAGTGGGTGAGGTGCTGGAGGTGAACGACGAGCATAGAACACCACCCCACCCAGCAACAGACAATGGAATAAATCCTGTTTGGTTTGCTCACACGAGTTTACATTATTTATCCCAATGTCTTCTGTGGAGGTTGGGGAACGCAAATGTGTGTGACTTACTAAGGAGAGCAGACTTGAGAGAGGCCTGGTGAAAGGAGAATATGATGGGGCAAAGGAGACACTGCACAATATGTCCAGAGATATCAGAGTAATAAATCAATCTCTCTTTTTCTTTCATTGATGATACTTCAGATATCAGATTTTCTTTAGCTCTCTGGAAACACAAATTAAGTGGGGTTTTGCTGCACAGAGGGTATCGTTGGGCATATCTTCGTGTCATGCTACACACAACTGTGGAACTCAATACTGGAAGCTGTAGTTGAAGCAAATAACAACAAAGTATCTAAAAGAAAACACAATGTGTACATGATGGAGAAGGGAAAAATATAGGAGAGGGGATAGGCAGGGATAGGGCCTTGTGCGGAGTACAAACACTGGCAGAGACTAGTTTGGCTGAATGACCTGTCTCAATATCATTTCACTGTATGTTACCTGGCCATAGGCACAGAAATAGGCCATTAAGCCCCCAACTAGTCCATATTTGTGATTATACTCCACATGTCTCCACCCTTCCTCACCTCCCCTCCCTCTATTCTGCTTGACCACATGTATTATTATTATTATTATTATTATGTATGTGTGGTTGGGAACATGCAGCTACAGCCCCCTGAGCTTTATGATAAACAAAGTGTCAGTCCTTGAAGTGTTTCAAATTGCTACGGCAACTCAAAACCATTTAAATTTGAGTGTGGATTAAATAATTGAACAACCTATAACTTTGCCTCGGCCAAACCAAGCCATCTGCCAGCCCTCCCATTATTTCTATTGCTGAGTTCTGGAACAGGAATTTGGGGACCCCTGATTCTTCCCCTGATTCTTCCCCTGATTCTTCCAGCTATGCCAAGGCACGGCGATAAATGATTACAGGTTCTGGCTTGTGACAAGAAAGTTCGTAGCAGGCAGAGGAATGTATTTCTTAACACAGAAGGAAAACAACATGAGTTACCAGGAAAAGATGTTTGAGGCCAGGACTCTGAAAGGACACAATCCAAAAGGCTCATGGGCCTTCCTTATCTAGACCAATCTTGTGGGTTAATTACAATAGACTGCAATTGTTAGTCAATGGACACAGAGAATTTTAAAATCTTTCTTGTACATCTAACATTTTATAATATATAAATATAGAATCATAGAATCTTACAGCACTGAAGGAGGCCATTTGGCCCATTGTGCCAGCTCTTTGAAAGAGCTATTCAACTAGTCCCGTAGCCCTGCTATTTTTTGCTTATAAAATATATAAATTAATATAATATTTTATAATATATTTATAATGATGTGATAAAGCACTATATGAAATGTAAGAATTGGTATTGTTGTTATTTTAAAACAAGACTGACTGCAGTAACATGAAGATTCCTATGCAGAATGTAATCTTAAAAGTTCAAGATAAATATTCAGTCAGCTAAGAACAAAATATTCATTCTGCGAAGATTAGCAATTTTTAAAAGTAGAAATGAATACAGGCAAAAACAGTATATATTCATCTGGATGGGTCCTGGGATTGTACTTACTTATTTACAGCAATACTACTGCTGTATTCTATTAGTTGGGTTATCACTAAGAGCAGGAGCTCTCAGTATGTGGATTTGTAATGTAGTTTTACTTCAACATTTATTGTATTGAAGTAGCTTTCTGTGATTTTCTTCAGCGACTCTACAAACAATGTAATGAAAGAGTAGGAACTTGCATTTGTAAAGTGCTTTATCCTGCAAATTGTCTCAAAATGCTTTGCAATAGTTATTCTCAAATGTAGTGAGTAAACAAAACTGTGCCCAGCAATAGTGTAAATTTATTTATAATATTAATAACCCTTGTGCAATAGCACCTTTCACATTCAGAGGATGTCTCAAAATATTTCATAGGATATATGTGAAGTGTAGACTCCTTATTTTCAAGGAGTACTCAGAAGCAATTTGCGCATAGCTCTTTCCCCAAATTAGACGAAGTAAATGATCACATTTATTTGGAGAATTGTTGGTCAAGGCACCGGAAAAATCTCCCCATTCTTTTTTGAATAGTGTCAAGCGATCTCTACGTCCACTTGAACATGCAGAGAGGACCTCAGTTCAAGGTCTCACCTGAAGAATGACATTTCTAAAAATGCACCACATCCCCAGCATTGTATTGGAGTGTTAGCTTAGACTTTATGAGTTCAAAGTCATGACATGTAACAACAACTTGCATTTATGTGTGCTCTTCACACAGGATAGCATCTCATAGTACTTGATAACATGTATTTGATATAGTCCCTCTCGTGTCAGCATTTCACAGGATCCACTGTATAGTGTGGTGACTGTATTTTGTAAATTGGAAACAAGAGAGGAAGGTTCAGAGGAAGCAATGACAATGGCAGTGTTACAACAACTACACAGACTTGCATTTGTATAGAGACCTTCATGTAGAATGTCTCAGAGCACTGTATTAACAAAGAGAGGCAAAGAAAGGATTTGAGAGGGAAATAACACGTAGCACTGAAGATTAACAAGAGTTGCTGATCATTCTGGCAAATAAGTTTCCCACGTATTAAAAAAAATATTTCAATGACATTAAAATACCTGATCTCAACCCCTTAAAAATCAGTCATGCTTTGTCAGGCTCTCCTCTCACCCCAAAGAGGCTTCCAAACATTGCCTCCGTAAACAAAGAGATTCCCAAACATTCCCACCACAAACAGAGATTTGTGGTGTTCCCTCAGCAAACTAATTCCCAAATATTCCCACCGCAAAGAAATTCCCAAACATTCCTTCCACAAGCAAAGAGGCTTGCAAACATACAGATAAAACACACATAATAGTCATTTTCTGTTAAAAATAAATCCACAAAAACACTCTGTCCTGAAGAACCAATAACCTGGTCCAGCTGTTAACCATCATCTGTGAATCATCTGAAATGCTGTACACTGTCCAGTGTCTTGGGATGTCCTCCCAATGTGAAAGGTGCTATACAAATGTAATCTTGTTGTTGTTGTTGCGCTAAGAAACACTACCTTGTCGCTGTTCCAAAATAACCCTCACAATCTTGAATCTGTGCCCTCTTGCCTTGCTGGCTTGGTGTTTCTGAACCTATTTTTCTTGGTTTACTTAATCCATTTAGTATATTTTACACCTCAATAAATTCAAGGCAACGCATTTCTTTCAACATGGAGATTATTGGTTCCTGGTACTTGTGCAATGTTGCTGTCTGTCAAGGAAAACCTCTAGCAATTTTTGGATCTCCAGACTGTGTGCAGATCTCCTGTTGTGGGATTAGCAATTAAACACCTTGATGTTCATTGATGTTAAAATAATTAAAGGCCTTTCATGCCTTGCTTCCTTCTGTTGCAGGCCCTTTACCGAATGGTAGACATGCTTCACACAGCCATCTCGTGCTGGCAGCCGATCCTAAGCTTGGCTCTCATTGTTGCTCTCGTGGGCTCCACCATGGGCTGCCCAGCTCGCTGCGAGTGTGCTGCTCAGAACAAATCCGTCACTTGCCACCGCAAACGATTGACTGTGATTCCTGAGGGCATTCCCATCGAAACCAAAATCTTGGACCTGAGCAAGAACAAGCTAAAGTCCATCAACCCGGACGAGTTCTTCTCATACTCTTTACTGGAAGAAATCGATCTCAGTGAGAATATAATAACAACTGTGGAACCTGGCTCTTTCAATAACCTTTTTAACTTGCGTTCCCTTCGTCTCAAGAGCAATCGTCTAAAACTAATCCCCCTGGGTGTTTTCACAGGGTTGTCTAATTTGACCAGGTTGGATATCAGTGAGAACAAAATAGTCATTTTGTTGGATTACATGTTTCAGGATTTACACAATTTGAAGTTTCTTGAAGTGGGAGACAATGATCTGGTTTACATTTCGCACCGAGCCTTCAATGGCCTGCTCGGACTGGAGCAACTTACCCTTGAGAAGTGCAACCTTACAGCAGTACCAACAGAAGCCCTCTCTCACCTCCACAATCTGGTAAGCCTCCGGCTCTCCCACCTCCACGTCAGCTCCGTCCACACCTACGCCTTTAAGAAACTCTACCGACTCAAACGCTTGGAAATCGACCACTGGCCCCTACTGGATGTCCTGCCCACCAACAGCCTCCATGGTCTGAACCTCACCTTCCTGTCCATCACCCACACCAACCTCACCGCAGTGCCCTACACGGCATTCAGACATTTGTACCATCTTGTGTACTTGAACCTGTCCTTCAATCCCATCAGCATGGTGGAATCGGGCTTGTTGCAGGACTTGGTGCGGCTGCAGGAGCTGCACCTGGTCAGAGCGCAGTTGCTGACCATCGAGCCCCGTTCCTTTCAAGGGCTGCGTGCCCTGCGGGTGCTGAATGTCTCACACAACCTGCTGGACACAATGGAGGAGAGCGCCTTCCAGTCGCTCAAGAGCCTACAGGTGCTGGCCATTGACAACAACCCACTGGCTTGTGACTGCCGCCTCCTGTGGATCATGCAGAGAAGGAAGGCATTGAGGTTTGCGGAGGAGCAGCCCGTCTGCACATCACCGGAGAGCTTGAAGGGCAAACCCTTCAAGGAGATTGCTGACGTTTTCCTCTCCAGCTACTTCACTTGCCAGAAGCCCCACATCCAAGAGAAGAAGCTTCAACACCTGTTGATTGAGGAGGGCCAGGTGGCTCAGTTCATTTGTCGGGCAGATGGGGACCCTCTCCCAATTATTTCCTGGCAGTCCCCGCGCAGAAGGATGATCACAGTAAAATCTAATGGGAGAGCCACAGTCCTGGGTGATGGCACCTTGGAGATCAGGTTTGCCCAGGTTCAGGATAGCGGGCTGTACCTCTGCATCGCCAGCAATGCTGCCGGTAATGACACTTTGTCGGCCACGCTGTTCGTCAAGGGATTTTCCGAGCATCTGCACGGAAACAGCACCTCTCAGTACATGATTGATCTGAACAACACCCACTCAAATGGTACTCATGTGTACATGACGGTGGCGCTGGACCTTAAGACCATCCTGGTGTCCACTGCCATGGGCTGCTTCACTTTTCTGGGAGTCGTCTTGTTTTGCTTCCTGCTCCTTTTCGTATGGAGTCGGGGGAAGGGCAAGCACAAGAACAACATTGATATTGAGTACATCCCCCGTAAGACGAACGGGGCCATGTCTGATGCAGATCAAGGAGGCCCGAGGAGGTTCAACATGAAAATGATATAACGTCAGCAGCAACATGGTGTTTTTGTTTAAATCACCCATCAGGTTGTCTCTTGCTGGTTATGGGGCTACATCTACAGTGTGATGATGCGGCCTGGCTCGACAGACTGCCAGGGGATATACCTGATTACAGCCGATGGTACAAAATAAACAAAAACAACTACTAGATTTATTGCAGCAGTGGGCAAGAAGTGGAGTTGCTTTCACAGTGCCTGTGCCTTGAGGTAATGGAAAAGGTGGCATAGGACACTGGATGTCTTCACAGACCCGGCTTGAATGACGGCCAGTATTTCAGACATTCAAATGTGACCAATCTCACAAGTGAACCGCTTGCTCAAGTCAAGAGAAAATCATTCTACATTTTATATTTCAACTGCCCTCTTCCTCCCCACTCCCTCCCTCCCTCCCTCCCAACACAACCCTCCGATAGGAATGAATAGGAGGATTCAAGTCTTCTTCATTACATGCCAGTGAATTTGTACTGGAATGACAATGATTTGAGAAGGATTGCACCAGTAAAAATTCAATGTTGCAGATTACTTAGTGGAGAGGGGAGGTATGATAAAGTTGTGGAGAGAAAGGCATATATGTTTGTGTGTGGAGGGTGGGGGGAATTTGTTTTAACGAAAAGGATTTTTTTTAAGCAATATGAATAATGTTGTGATTAATTGGTGTACAATAAACATATGCCATCATTAGTTCTTTCAGAAGAAGCAGTGCTGATACTCATAGTATATGCTTTGTACACCTACAGGTTTGGTCCTAATATTGATTATATTTTAAACACAAAGAAAACTTTCCTATCCAAATACAAGACAAAAACTGAAAACAGGGGTAAAAATCAACTCAAAACCTGATTTGAGTTAAAAGGTATTATTGCTGATTTATTTTCTGCATTGAATTTGTGTGCAGTAGCATAAACACTGTTAATCTGTAAATGACCAGTAACCTTTTGAGTCATCCAAACCGAAAAGGTATAAAATATGTAAACAAGGAGAACACTCACTTGGGTCTTGTCAGTGTCCCCTTAGTCAACCCCTTTCTGAATAGTTACTTTCTGGGAAGTGTTTTAATGATCCTTTTCTACTATTTAATGTGAAGGAGGGTCTCTGAGATTAATTTGTGGGGTATTGGTTTCTTTTACCCTAGCTGAGACATATTGGGCTTGGTTTTGAAATGCCCCTGCCCACTATGAATAACATTACCATTGCCCTGGCAAACACAGCACAAAAAGGTGTTCAGTGAGTCGCCAGACGACGACTGCTTTGGTAGACCGTATTGCAGCATGAGTTAGCACTTCAAGAGTGAGAGGAAATGTAGAGGTGGGCGAATGAAGGTGAAAGAATTGGCTGCCAAATGGGCAACTCAGAGGTCAGCAATATTCAAAGAACAATCAGAATAATGTTTTACAAGTTCATTCCTTGTTATCTTCAACCAAGATCAATGACTCCAAGTGGCAGGCATGAGGAAACGGTGTGCTCCCTCTTTGAATATGACCCATATATGAGCCAAATGATTCTGCTGACAGGACCGAAATTGCCGTTTCCATTTCACAACTTAAGATAAACCAGAAAGGCTAACAAATGATATAACTAGTAAATCTACTGGTGTATCAGAAATAGAGAGGTGGGTTAAAAAAGCCTGAATTCTACCCAAATGGAAACTACATGTTTATCAGTCCTGAGAAATGGTAATAGCAAATCCAAGTCTGGTGCAATGTTATAAGAGAAGGAGTTAAGGTGGGGAGATTCAACCAGCTGCTTCTCCAAAAAAAAGGATACGAATAAAGGGTATGTTGTTGATGAGATTTGTCCAGAGCCATGGAATGTAAATGTGGATGTATATGAGCCTGAATTACTGCACTTCTGTTGGTGCATTGAAACTCAGTTGACAAAGGAAACATTTTCTTTTAAATGTAACACTTTAAGCAGCAATGGTCTTCTCCTGTTTTCCCATCCCTATGTTCATAAATTCAATTCCTGAATAATTAGAAAACCTCAGTCTGTTTTCTGAATGTCAAATCGAAGGAGGTGAAAAATGTGACTTTTCCGAACAGATTTTAGTATGCTAATCATCACATTGAAAAAGTGTTGTGTTTTTCTACCCCAATAAATTGGTGAGGCCATCACTTTGGTTCTTTGAGACATTAATTTGTTTTGCTAGTCTTAAGTACGTCGGCCAGCAGACCTGTTTGTTCAAATAGCAAATGTATGTGAGTAAAATATTGCCAATCCCATTAGATATGCCTGTTCATAATATGAGGTGGCTTTCTTTTTCAATAAACAGGATTTTCCCAATTCAACTGTGCATTGTTGTTGTAGTCACCATCAAACACATTGAAATCTTAATTCATTTCCTGCATTTTATATATTTTCTGGATAACTGTTCTGTTCCGATAGCAAATGGGGAAACAAAAAGATTCAATTTCAATTCTCTTTCAATTGCACTTTGAACAACAACAACCTTTTCAAAATGGGATATAAATTTGCAATATGTTCCTAGCTATTATGGTCATTACAGCAAACATGAAAATGAATTGCACACTACCAAACATCATTATATATTTTGCTGCATTTCTATTTCCTGCAAAACCCAAGCCATCTACCTAGATGCTGTGCCCGCAGGTGACATAAAGAGTGATTTGAGTTTATGAGGAATGGGCAATGTGGCTATTAGTTGTCACCATAAAATGCTGTTCTGCGATATAAAAATATTTCTGATGCTAATGTGACTAGTATACAGAGAAAGCTTCCTCTCGCGCAGCAACAATTTTTAGGTCTCAGAGGGTCAGGTATTTCTTAATTTAAATTACAATTAAAGGGTCTAGACCTGGATACAGAAACAAACTGAACTAAAAATGAACCCTATATCTAAATATCTCCTTGCTGTAGTTTTTCTATCTTTATGATCTATTATTTCCACTACTCCATCATCATCCATCAACCATTTGATTCCTTGTCAATTTCTGGCAAATGTTTCTCTGTCATTCTCATGTCCACGTTTTAAGTGGATTACATGTGGAGCACACTATGCAAACCTTGTATCTTCTGAGAAGTATGTCTGCTTCTCACTCTCCTTGCTGTCACTAGAAACGACTACACTTATGTAGCTGACACCCATCACACACAAGTTCTGGAGAAGATGTAGAGCAGGGATTCTCTCTGCATACGTAGAGCTAATATCTTGTATTGTATTCTCCTGTACAAGGGAGCCACACCATGTTATCATGCCATGACCAGCGACAATTTGATTTTTGCCTAGTACCTGTTCTTCCAGAACAATGAACTGGTATGTTAAGTACAAGTCAGGAACGTTATTGGGAAATAAAATTCACTGTAATATATTTAATGACCAATATGAATCTTTTCTCGAATTGCTTCAAAACAAATACAATAAAATTGGAAGGGAGAGAATCAAATATAGCAACAATGTTTAGAATGCAAATTTATGATTTAAAGTACCATTACTTACTGTCTACTTAGTTCCACTTGCAGTGGAATTGAATACTTGTTCTTTCTCAATCTGTACACCTTGAATTAAAAAATGTATTGTGTAGTGGATGCAGAGTACCACTTAACCTTCATTTTTATTCCCTCCTAGGGGAGCAGTGGTAAGCGGGGTCACCTTGGAGCTGAATTGGCTCCAAGGTGACATGCCTGGCAATGGAATGGTGGAATCGAGCCAACCCTCTGGGGTGGACTCAGTAGTCCAGTTCCTGAGCCAGGCAGATCCACAGTATTCCAGGGGACTGCTCATAACAGCACAGTCAGCTGGGCTCATCAGCAGATCCTGGAAGGGCAAACCAGTCACGGGGTAGGGCAGGGACTAATCCCACTCGACTTTTGTTAACCCTGCAACCTTTCCATGGTGTAGGTGGGATGCATGGAATTTTCAGCTTGTTTTGGAAACACTTAAAATAAATTTTAATCTTCCATCAGGAACATACTAAAAACTATAAGGAAAGCAGAATCCAAGTGTCTGCCACACCTCTCCACAACACCCTCCTGCTCTCCACACATCATCATCAAACATCCCTAGACTGCTATGTGAGATTACTCTTAGTGCTTTAAGCTAGTGGAAACATCCTTGCTGTTCTCGGAGGTCATGGATGGGCTTAGTTATCATGCAATGTCCATCACATCAAATGCTTTGTGAGGAAAAATGGCAAAGTGTAAACACTAAGGAGATTGAATTCAATTTGGAATAATACAATCTTAATTGAATCCAATCTTTGCCGCTGCTGATTGAATTACACTCCATCCCACCAAAGTGATGAGCCAGTTGCAATTCACTCTATCAGTGCTTGCACTGTTGATTATTTACTCATACAGAATGTAAAGAATGGTTTAATCCTAGATCTTTAGAGGAAATAACTTCTCAACCCCCACCACTCCCCAAGTCAAATGCAATCTCATTTCAAATAACGTTTTAAAATGGTTTGGAAAACAAAAAGAATCTGCAATGGTTTGATCCATTCCATTACTTCAAGATGTTAATAACAAAGTCTCAACTACACTATGAAGCAGTTCAATATGATAGCCATGTGCTTCCCCAATAAACTTTATGAGATACCTTTTATATCCAGTGCCTTAGGACATCCTCCTGACGTGAAAAGCACTATACAAATGTAATTTTGTGGTTGCTGTTATCCTGTGAGTTAACTAACCATGACCCCAGCCAACAGTCACCTGCTAGTTAAGTTGAGAACCACAACTAAGATTCAAATTCTATCCAATTTTTTAAAAAAAAACAACTGCCTTTCAACTACCATACATTAAAAATTAATCTGGTATAAAACAGTTATGTAAGTTAGTCTCTTTCAGCAGCCATCTGTATCAAAGATTCATTACAGAAACAGCCACCTCTCTTTATTCTGCCCCCGCTCTCTGGAATTTTATCCTGGAGTCCCTCCGACTCGTTCCCTCTTTCAATGCACCTTTCAAAACATAGTTCTGTGATCACACTTTCAGTTCCCCTTCTTTCCCCTTCCCATACCTTTTGGATCCTACCTATAGCTCAGATGTCTATCCAGCAATGTGAAGCACTTTGAGATGTCCTCCCAATGTGAACAGCACTATAATTTGTAAAACAAAATTGGAGACTCAATCATTGTTTAAAATTAGACCTTTGCCAAACTTAATCCATAGCACAAATTCTTCGTCAAGCTCTGTAACAAGTAAT